TGGAATAGAAATTGATAGGATTAAAATCAACTGGTATAAATACAGATGTAACAAGACAACAGAACACAGAACCTAGACACAGAACCTAGAGACAGAACCTAGAGAGAGAACCTAGGGAGAGAACATGGCAAAAGATCCTGGACAGAACCTGGCTACAGAACTTGGCTGGAGAACCTAGACAGAATATGGCAGGAGAACCTACACAGAACCTGGCTAGAACCTGGCGACAGAACATGGCTGGAGATCCTGGATAGAACCTGGCAAGAGAACCTGACTAGAACCTGGCTACCGAACCTGCCTGGAGAACCTAGCAAGAGAACATGGCAAGAGAACCTGACCAGAACTTCGCTGGAGATCCTAGCCAGAACTTCGCTTGAGATCCTGACCAGAACCTGGCTGGAGATCCTGACCAGAACTTGGCTAGAACCTGGCCAGAGGAACCTGGCTATGATGATCACCTGAACGCTGCCTCCGTGTCGTCCCTTCTTCGCCGACTCTGTCCACACCTTTGGGGACCCCTGGACCTGCTGGGGATGGACCCCAGCAGTAGCCCTCGCCCTGGGGGCAAGATGGAGGGCGTAGCCCTCGCCCTTTCAGTATCTGTTCATTTATTTTCCCTCCTTCCTCTGTACAACTTTTGTTAAATATTTGGTGTATATTGCTACATTTAATGACCCCATAATACCTTATTGTTCTTCCATTTTAAAGACATTAAAGAAAAAAAGTAGTCCACTATATTTCCCCACAATTTTACCATTGTTATGTTAGTGGCTCAGAAGGTGGCGTAAGAAATAAAGAGTTGAGTGAATCAGAAAAGAAAGAAAAGGAAAAGTCTTTATTCTGAGTCCCAGGGCGACCCAGGAACCCCAAAGACAGGGCCTGTGCTACTGCGCCAACAGGGAGGGGGGCGCTTTTTTTATACTGTGGTTGGGTGAGAGGCGGGGACATGAGCTGAGGTATTCAGCTGAGGAAGTTTCCGCTGCAGGGGGCCAGCAGGGGTATTCAGGAAGGAGTCAGTATCTGCGTGGGGTCGTGTTGATTCAGGGAGAAGCCAGTATCTGTGTCTGGCAGGCTGATCTGTTAGAAATGCCAGGGAGGATCCATTATCTCATCACACGTCTACATGTATCCGATCCTGGGCTCTCTCTGACCTAACATAGTCCCAAGGTTTTAAGTTTCATGTATAAATTCATAAGTGCTAAATTTATGTCTCCAGCCTAAACTCCATTTCAGACCAATATATTCATCTATTTACTTGACATTAGCACTTGGGTATGTAATAGGCATCTCAGACTTAATTATTGTCAATGCTCTCTAGTTAGAGACCACTAGGAAAACAACTATAGTTGAACAAGTTGGGTTTACGACTTGTTTCAGTAAGAATGCACACTATGGAGAACCATGGGGCACCTCAGTAAGAGGTGTTAAAAATTTGGGTTTATGCCCTGGCTGGCTTGGTCAGTGGATAGAGCGTCGGCCTGTGGACTGACGGGTCCCAGGTTCGATTCCAGTCAAGGGCACATGCCTGGGTTGCAGGCTTGATCCCCCGTGGGAGGCGTGCAGGAGGCAGCCGATCAATGATTCTCTCTCATCATTGATGTTTCCATCTCTCTCTCCCTCTCCCTTCCTCTCTGAAATCAATAAAAATATATATTAAAAAAAATTTGGGTTTGTGTTAGATGATTTAGGGGAAGGTTCAAGGAAGAGGGATTTTTCTCTGTGTTGGAAGCTGTAAGGAGGCAGGGGTAATCCTATAATATTTTAAAAATATTTTTTATTCATTTTTTTTGAGAGAGAGATGAAGAGGAAAAGGGAGTGAGAAAGAGGGAGAGAGAAAAATCAATCAATTACCTCTCCTATGCACCCCTATGGTGGGGATGGAACCTCAACCTGGGCATGTACTCTAACCAGTAATTAAACCCAAGACCTTTTGGTGCATGGGAGATGCTCAACCAACTGAGCCACTCAGGCCAGGGCTATAATTTGGTATTTTAATACGTATTATCTAGAAGGACTGAGGTTAAAACTATAATTGATGAAGACACAGCAGTCACTCATATTAGCCGGGACAGGGAAATGTTTGTTCATTTTGGGGAGGCTTGGCAATGTTTGTCTATCTATGTTCATACATGATTACAAAGTGATCTCATGTCTGTCTTGATCCATCATGGTCACAGAGTGGCCTTGTCTGATGTTGATGTTCTATGAAAATTTGTCCCCCTCAACATACTAAGATCATTCCTCACTCTGCACTTTCTCTATTCTTTACCTGGTAATCTCTTTACCTGGCTTTGATCATGATGCCTCCTTCCTACTCGCTATCACAACCCTTCTTTGGCGCACTAATCAATATCTGAAAGAATGCTGTCCATTCATTCATTGGTTTATTGTCACCGACTCACTGGAATTTAAAATCATAAAGTATTTTTTCTCTCATGGTCATTGCTGTAACCTCAGCCTCTCTAGAAACTCACCTCATAGTCAAGTGCTTGTCAACTTAAGAAACATTCAAACCTGTGACAAATTTTTGTGAGTTTATTTGAGCCAAAACTGTTGACAATTGCCGGGAAGCAAAATCTCAACGGATTGAGACAATGCTCTGGAGAATGGCATTTTTGCACCTTATTTTATACATTACAATCAAAAGAGATAACGCAAGTGGGTTATGTGAAATCCACTGGTGATAGATTAGGGAGGTGGGAGAAAGCAAAGCCAGGAAGCCTCTGAGATTAGATAAAAAGTAAAATGATAGACAAATACTTCTTTTACTTAGATGGGTGCAGGATAGTTAACAGTCAACAATTAGCTCAGTGACAATGAGGGGATTTGTGGTATCTGCAGAGCAATGCCTGTGCTTTAAGGGGTCTGGAAAAAGAAAATTTACGTTCCAAGTATGTTGTTATTGATGCAAAGAGACGAAAGACAGGCTCAGTTAAGGTAAAAATTGACCTTTGCCAGGGAAGATCCTGGCCTAAGACATGACTACCTGCCATAAACTGATTTTAATTTAAAAAGTTTTTATTTCAGACCATCTTTTGTGGTTACTTTAGGTCTCTGAGTTTGCAAGGCTGCTATGAAGGCCTCCTATGGGCTAGCATGTGGCCCTTATTTGTCCACAGGCTCAATAAATGCACTGTGACTGAACGCCACTGGGCTGTTTTCTGGTAATACAACCATAACCCACCAGCAGTTGCACTTTTTGTGTTTTCTTATGGAGTAGTAATGAAGTATGGTAGTTTAACTCTAACCCTGCTGTTTGGCTTAACAATAGAAAAGTTACTTTGATTTTCTGAATTGTATAAATCATCCCATTCGATTGAATGACTATCCCATTGATTGTTATCTTACTGGTTATCGAAGCACATTCTTCTGTACCTGGGAAACAGGACAGCACAATTACCCTAAATTGTTTTAGTGCACAGGTGGTGCGTTCCAGTGACTCAGTGTCTAGACCAGACAGCACAATTACTCTAAATACCTCGATGGCTTCTAGATAATGAGTCCT